CTGCTTCAGGAACCGCTGGTGAACGGAGCCAGGATGGACATCCAGGGTGGCACGACTCCAGGTCTGAGCAGCATGCTGTGCTCCTCTGGGACCACCACCCCGAGGACACTGGTGGAGGTAGATGTTCCTGGACTGAGAGACGCACCTGCAGTGGCTTCTCTACTCGGGCTGAAGTCCATCCGGCAGAGCAGGAGGATCCTGAGCAGGTTGGCGGAGAGACTGACGGTGGACGAGGTCGAGATGCTGAAGGAGGACGACAGAGGAGAGGAAGCTTCTGATTCTACAGATCTATTTCCAGATCTAGGATTTATTGCAGAGCTGAATGGGGTCTCAGGACCATCATTCAGTGAAACAGAGTCTGAACTCTTGGACCTCCACACAGTGAAAGGGAAAACGATCTACACAAACTGTGTGAAAGTGCTCAACAGAAACAAACTGGACCAGAGAGCCGACACTGTGTGGAGACAGAACCTGAACATGGACATTGGTGCGAAACCAGTTTGGAGGGTTTTATATAAACCTCCTGTTAACAAGAGAACTGGTCTACAGTGGAGGATCCTACACGGTCTGTTTGTAGCCATGGTCCATTCTGTGAGGAGGTAGAGACCGTGTTCCTCTGTTTCTATCACTGTGACAGACTCTGTAACCTTCTAACACACTGCAGGATGTTTCGAAAGGGTTTGGTGAGACCTGGTCCAGGACCACCTTCATAGGAGTCGGCTATAAAAAAGTGAACTCGTCCAAGTGGAAGCTGTTGGAGGAGAGAATAAACTGTGTTTACACAAGCAGGAAGAACCGAGTAGAGGACAGAGCAGCACAGGAAGCTCTATCTAGTGTTTAACACTCCTTTTAATACAGTGTGAGGAGAAACTGTTTTAGTTTTTCTTTGTTTGTTGATTTGTTTTGATTATTGCCATGACAAGAATATTTAGTTTGTTCATATTGTTTTTAAGTAAATAAAGGTTTCTAAAAATCAAATCTCTCTCTGTCGCTCTCTCCCTGTCTCCCTGTCTGTCCTTCAGGCTGACAGCCCTGGTGGTGAAGACCCTGTCTGTGGTGGACCCGGTGGTCTCTGTGGACCACCACACTCTCTCAGACTCAGTGTCCTGGTTGATCCGCCGAGCTCAGCAGCAAGACGGGTCCTTCACAGACAAGTCCTCCTTCAGAGCCAACAAAGTCATGGTCAGCACCTCCTCCTCCTCTTCATCATCTTCCTCTTTGTTTGTGAGTGACCTTCCTCTCTTTGTGTGCTGCGTTCTGATTGGTTGCAGGCTGTAGGGACGTCTGCTGTCGACCAATCGGTGTATCTGACGTCCTTCGTGCTGATCGCATTACACAAAGCTACGAATATCAAAGTCCCCATCCTGCATCTCCAGGTGAGGACACCTTCATCCTCCTCTTCATCATCCCCATCCTCCTTTCTCTTCCTCCTCCTCTTCCTCCTTTCTCTTCCTCCTCCTCTTCCTCCTCCTCTTCCTCTTCCTCTTCCTCCTCTATTTTTGATTCCATAAACCTTTAAATCTTCTCTCTCTAGTTCCACGATGACAGCATGAGGTCTGCAGTAAACTACATTTCCCAGCATGCCCTGGGTGTGAAGAGTGTGTATGTGCGTGCGGTGGCGACCTACGCTCTGACCCTTCGTGACCCCGACAGCATGGCGGCCTCCGAGCTGCTCAACAGTCTGGAGAAACTGGCTCGAGACAAAGGTGTGTTTCTACACGAGTTAAAGTGATGACTCATCATGAACGATCTACGACTATTCATCTATTCATCTATGTATCTATTTATTCATGTATCTATTTATCTATTTATTCATTTATCTATTTATTCATTTATCTATTTATCTATTTATTCATTTATCTATTTATCTATTTATTCATGTATCTATGTATCTATTTATTCATTTATCTATTTTTTCATGTATCTATGTATCTATTTATTCATTTATCTATGTATCTATTCATTCATTTATCTATTTATCTATTTATTCATTTATCTATTTATCTATTTATTCATTTATCTATGTATCTATTTATTCATTTATCTATTTATTCATGTATCTATTTATTCATTTATCTATTTTTTCATGTATCTATTCATTCATTTATCTATTTATCTATTTATTCATGTATCTATTTATCTATTTATTCATTTATCTATTTATCTATTTATTCATTTATCTATGTATCTATTCATTCATTTATCTATTTATCTATTTATTCATTTATCTATTTATCTATTTATTCATTTATCTATTTATCTATTTATTCATTTATCTATTTATCTATTTATCTATGTATCTATTTATTCATTTATCTATTTATCTATTTATTCATTCATCTATGTATCTATTTATTCATTTATCTATTTATCTATTTATTCATTTATCTATGTATCTATTTATTCATTTATCTATTTATCTATTTATTCATTTATCTAT